TTGATATTTTTAAGTTCATACAAGAGTTATGCAGATAATAGTCATCAGAACAAGAAAAAACGGTGTTTCAGCATCTAAATAGATCATCAATATTTGATTGAATTATAAATATCAAAACAGAGCCTGGAAAGTAAAAAAGTGAGAAGCGTCTGGAATGTTACAATACCTGCTTCAAAAGCAGCAAAGACTCCTCCAAGGGATAACGGCGTTGCTCCATATCTTCACCAGCTTTGTTACCATGCTTGATGGTTTCAATCAAATTGTGGCAAGCAATCCAGAATTGCTTCGCTCGACGATTTTCGGAGTCCTACGTGCAATAATTACTAAGAATGACTACTACTATACATAATTGATGCATTTTATTTAAACGAATCATTCAAAACATACCAAAGCAATTCTGCTACTAAGCGCTGACTCAATGCCTTCCAAGCGGCTCAGAGCAGCACCAACTTGACGACTATGGAGATTGCGTTCTAATTTGACAGCCTAAATTCACGATAAAAAATATACTGAAGAACGCAGGAAATCGGAAAGTTCTGAAAGAATGGTAGCTAAAAGTATAGCATTTTTTAGTCAGAAAAGGCATATCCTAAATCTAATACCTTGACGTCAGCCATTACAAGACGATAAAACATGAAAGAGGAAATGTCTACCTCTTCTAACTTCTGATTGTGCTCGATTTCAAAAAGCTGCCGTTGAGTACGTATGACTTGCTCAAGATGTTCGGAATGTGCAGCTGCGGTTCGTTTCAACTGTTCCTCCATTTCCGTTTCCCACGTTGAGCGATTTTTCAGTACCTACAAGTTTATACAATACAAAAAGATGAAAAAATTCTGGCCCAACAAATTAAAGGAAATTTATAACCTATCCGTACTGATAATCAAAACTGCAGCAACCGTACGAAAGAATCAAAAAACGTCAACATTCGCCCTACTAGCGTTTACACGGCCGATCCAATTTATTTAAAAGCTTCAAACTCACTGCTCTTTCAATTGCAACATCTTGCTGCTGCTGAATCCGTTTCAGCTCGATCCTCAGACGTTCAGCAGCTATACGTTCATCAGCTTCACGTTGTTCAGCAATAGCGTGAGCAATGTGCTGCTCCTCTCTTGCCTGAAACACATTATAAACCTACCTGCACAAATCTTTCAAAGATGAAAAATTTTCAAAAAATGTATCTACTTACTTGCTGATCTGAAAGTTGTCTCCTCAGGTGGTCAACTTTCAAGTGAGCATGGGCAATTAGAGCATTCAGTTCATCTTCAGTGAGATTTTTGTCCTAAGATTTCAATTACATTCATTATGGTTTCCTGATTTAAAAAAAGTAGTTTACTTTCGCATTAACGTCAACGTTAGGAAGAATACTCCTCATTTCTAAGGCAAACTGTTGACGACTTCGTTCGATAAGGTCCTTATATTGATTCAAAATGGTTGACTCTTGACGGGCCTGAAAGCACCTCTCAGAGTAAAATCCAATTGGTCATCAACATTATTGCCATAATAAAACAAGTCTATCAGCTTACCTTAGAGACCAGGCCATTGAGTTCATCCAATTGATGGGACAATTTATTAGCTGTTTCCGTTGCATTAAGGAGAAGAGCATTATTAGCCGTCGCTGGATCATTTTTACCAAAACTGATCACCTGGATGAACAAATGAGAAAATTCTAGGTGAAAACAAAGAAGGATCTACTTACCTTCCTTAAGTTATCAATATAATTTCTTCCATCAGCCTCGGCCACACTGTCCTTATGAGCGAGGGACTCGGCATGTTGAAGTGCAGAGGTTACCTTAGAAGGAACAAAAAAAATAGATTGCAACTATAAAGCCGCAGCTATGAGCACATCTTCAATAAATCACGGGAAACGAATAGCTAGTATTATTTTGACACTGAACCTTTTGAAGAAGCAAATGTAATATGTTTCAATCAGAGAAGTTGAAGAAAGACAACAGAAAAAGGAAATTTTCAATATATTTAATTTTGATTTACTCATAATACTTGAAAATGACCCTG